TTAAATTATTGTTGTTACCATTATTGTCCTACTTTTATTCCACTTGGTTTTTTTTGTCATTATTTTCTTTTTGCTGTTGCTCATTTTTTTGTTTTGTTTTTTCCTTGTCTCATGCATTAGAAGACAGCAACTGTGCTCACACACACTACCCACAGCCATATCAAGTATCACCTACTTAGATTTTGATAATCAGGTAATACAGAGTCACTATATCCTCCTATATCACCTAGTCATAAACAGACAGTGGTCAACGCCAGCCAAACCTGCCCTCAACGGAGCTACATGAACAGAGAGCTGTACACATACTCACATTCTCTATCACACCCACACACCACTTTATCTTACTGCTTAGATAAAAAGAGACGAGTACCTAAGAACACACCAACATCCATTCAATTAAAAACAAAACAACACCATAATGTCTTAGAGAAAACAGATAATTTCAGCTCACACTAAGAAACAAGACAAAGTGACTCAAACAAACAACAAAAATACAGAGCTAGAAGACCTGTCTAAGGATGAAATGACATTCATAATGAATTCAAAAGAATGATAACTAGGTACCTTCAGTAGATTGAGAGAAAGATGGAAAAAGTTACAGACAAAACTTCAGAAAAATTCAGAAAACACTACAAGAACACATTGGTAAAATAAATGAAACACTAGAAACCAAACAAAAGCATAAAAAATAAATCCAGAAAATTAATGCCAAGGTTTCAGAAATAAAAATATATATACTACCTGGGCAAAAGAGTAGATTTGAATCAATAGAGAGCCAAGTTAATGAGCTTGAAGACAAATCTCTCAATTCCAACCTGCCAGAGAAAATCAGGAAAAAGAACAAAAAAGCCAAAGAAATTAAGAGTTATGTGAGATATCATCAAGAGGAATAACTTGTGATTAAAATTCCAAAACAAGAAGAGACCACACAAAAAAAGAGAACAGAGAAAATTGTTGAAGAGTTGTTGGAAGTAAATTTCCCTAACATTGTGTAAAATGAATAGATAAGCATTCAATAAGCTGAATGAACCCCCAACCGGATAGATACCAAAAGAAAATCACCAAGACATATCATAATCAAGTCTTCCACAACCAAAGACAAGGAAAGAATTCTGAGAGCAGCTTGGGAAAAACAAAAATTTACCTTCAAAGTACCAGTAAGACTACACTTTGATTTTTCAGCAGAACCCAGTCAAGCAAGAAGGTAATGAGATAACATGATAAAACCCTTAAAGATAAAAACTGCCAACCAAGATTTGTATACCCAGCAAAGCTGTTTCTGAATTATGATGCTGAAATTAGGACATATCCAGACAAAGAGAAATGAAAAGAAATTGTGAAAGCCAGGCCAATCTTACAATAAAAGCTAAAGGGTGTTCTTCAGACAACCAAGTAGAGTAGATTAGTATACATGACAGCACCAACCACAAGTCAACCCAGACATAGAAATACCCAAGCAAAACAAACCCACAAGACTGAAAATAGGGATCCAGAGATAAAATCTGTAACAAAGACAATTACAAAGTAAAAAGAGAGAATAGTGTATTTACAGAACTTCCAAATGGAGAGAAAGCCAAAAGTTCAAGATAAAACAGACTATTTAAAATTTGGGAAGAAATTAATACACATGTTACTAGGGTGATATTGTTGTTGTTGCTAGGTGCCATCGAGCCGATTCTGACTCATAGAAATCCAGTGTGGGTTTTCTGAGGAGCAGCTGGTGGGTTTGAACCACTGACCTTGTGGTTAGCAGTCTAGTGTTTATCCTACAGTGCCACAGGGTGATGTAGACAGCAATAAACAATTTAATAGACATGCAGTCTGAACAGGTGTGGATGGGATAGTAGGAGTATACCCATAACATATAAAGATTTGACTTAGAATACTTGTACATGTGCATTTAGTTTTGGTGCAAATATATCCATGAATGTGGAGGAGCATACAGGGGCATAATTAGGAAAATGCCTTAGGAAAAATCAAACACTTTGAGAAGGAGTCACTGGGTCTGGGAATTCAGGACCATATTATCAGGGGACACCAAGGTCAACTTGCATAACATAACACAAAAAGACAATGTTCTCCTTACAACTTGGGTGAACGAATAGTGACTGGGGTCTTAAAAGCTCATGAGTGAGCATCTTAGGCGCAACTATTGGTCTGCCCTGTTTTGAGGAAAAAAGAATGATGGAAAATGAACATATATGGAAAAAATTAGTCCAGTGGATGAATGGGCAATGTAATCATGAGTCTCCATGATTCTGAGACCAAAAGAACTAGATGGTGCCCAATTACTACTATCAAATTCTCTGATAGGGGTGTCACATTAGATGGTTTTGGACAGAGTAGCAGGAAATTACAACAAAACACAAAATAATAAAAGGGACCAGGCTTACTGCTTAGATAAAGACTAAAACCTCTGAGACTATGGCTCTGAATCACTCTTTGAATCTGGAATTGAAATCAACCACATGACTCAATTTTTTAGCCAAAAAGTAGGTTTATAATGGGAACAATAACACTACTGAGGTATGCACACCTTAAAATAATCAATCAGTTGAGATCAAAGGGGCAGCATTTCCCCAAGGATTAAGTTTGGCAGGGTTAGGAAAGAAGAAGGAATGGAAAGAGCGAACTTGAGGAACAAGTGGGGTAAGTGATGTGACACTGAAGAGATTAGAATCACTTAGATGAAACAAAATGTGTATGAATTGCTGAACATAAAGTTGATGATCTGTTCTGTAAACCTGCATCAATACAAAATTTTTTAAAAAGTTAAAAATAAGAAAAAAATAAAATGAAACAACATATTGCACAAGGAAAACCTGCTGCTAAAGACCTAATTAAAGGATCAAAAAGCACAGATGTCACTTTGAGGACTAAGATTTGCTTGATTCAGGCCATGTTAATTCTGCATAAAATGAATATAAAAGCTGGGCAATTACTAAGGAAGACTAGAGAAAAATTGTTGTATTTGTATAATGGTGTTGGCAAAGAATATTGAATATACTATAGACTGTCAGAGGAGTCTTGGTGTGGCACTGTGGGTTAATGTGCTGACTGCACAGTCGGTTTGGACTACAAGGTCAGTAGTTTAAGCTCACCAGCCGTTCCTTGGAAACTCTATACAGTGTAGTGCTGGGTCAGAACTGACTGGATGGCACATTAACAACAACAAACAACAACAATGGGCTGCCAGAGGAATGAACAAATCTGTCTTGGAGAAGTACAGCCAGAATGTTACTCAGAAGCAAGAATGTTGAGACTACATCTCACATACTTTAGACATGTTATCAGTAGGTGCCAATCCCTAAAGAAGAACATACTTGCTAAAGTGGAGGATGACCTTAAAAATGAAGATCTGCCACAAGATGAATTAACACGTGGTTACAACAATAGGCTAAAACATAGGAACCGTTTTGAGGATGACATAGAAATGAGGGACATTTGATTCTATGATACACAGTATCTCCATGAGTCAGAACTGGTTCAACATCACCTAACAACAACAGCTTTCATGAAACAATAGTTTTCAATACCCACAACATCAGTCAGTGCAGGACAGTGAATCCTGAGAGCAGAAAATAAAGTTGAGCCCATGACTGTTTTATCTAATGCCTAGAGAAATGCCAGGCTGGTGGAAGGGGTGGGAAGGGTGAGGGGATATCAGCACTTTGAACTGAATGGAAAGAAAATGCAACATATCTAAACTGATTTTTGTTTTTTAAAAATATTTTTTGGAGAAGAAAATAAAAATCTCTCAATCCAAGGACTGTAGCATCTACCTTAAGGATGTAGGCAGAGAAAAGCAAGTTAAGCACAAAAGCAGAAGGTCAATAATAAAGACCAGAGGGGAAATCTAAGAATTAAAAAACAGAACAACATTGGAAGTCAATGAAATCTAAGTTGGCTCTCTAAGAAGATCAATAAAACAGGCAAACCGATCAGTAAGAAGAAGAAGACACACATTACCGATACAAGGAATAATAGCGGTGACACCACTCCAGATTCTAAAACACTAAGAGACGAGGGGTATTATGATCAACTTTGTGCTGAAAATTTAACAGCTTAGATACAGTGGATAAGTTCCTTGGAAGACACAGTTGCCTTGGGTTTCACTTGAATAGCAGTGTTCAGTCATGCCAGGTTACCACCCTTAGGCTCTGTTTCTGAGACTGCTGGAGATCAGCTTACAGTTTAACTAAACTTCACAACACAAAATCTCAGATAATTAAAGTTTGTGAGAAAAACTAAGTACAAATGTTGTATAAATGCTAAAAACAGCATACATGTCTTAATAAAGTCAACACATTAACTTTTAAAGGCAAACTCATCACCCTGGACAAAGGTTGTTTTCAGTTCTGTTCCTGATGCACTGGGGACCGTTTCATCCTTAGGCTGATGTGGGTCATTTTTCTGCTCCCATAAAGATTTACAGCCTTAGAAACCCTATACAGGGTCGCTATAAGTCAGAACAGATTCCACGGCACATAACCACCAACCACCACCACGTCAAAAGGAAGAAACAGTCCTTGGAAAATGTTAATGCCTGTCTTGTGGGAAAGAGACACTCTAAATGGGCCTTCAACATCTCACCTCTAAAACTGCTTTCTTTGTTTTTCTGGCCTGGTCAACAGGTGAAGACACCGAAAAATAAAAAACAAGAATGGGAAGATTAAACACATTTAAACCTATGACACCAAGATTTTGGTAAGAGCTTTAAAATAATGCTGCTGCTGCTGCTGTTATGTGCTGTGGAGTCGGTTCCGACCCATAGCAACCCTGCACAGGGTTGCCAAGGCTGTAAATCTTTACGGGAGCAGAAAGTCTCATCTTTCTCCCGTGGAACAGCTGGTAATTTCGAACTGCTGACCCTGAGGTTCGCAGCTCAATTCGTAACCACTAATAGAGATGGTATAATAACTTTATCATCGTTTTGATACTTTGATCATGTCTTATTGTTTAAAGAATCCAAAACATTTCTGTGACTCATTTTTAAATGGTCATTTAGAGGAACAAGAAAAAAGTTTCTTAAGTGCTGTTTTAAACTCCTTGTTTCTCAAGGTGTAGATGAGGGGGTTTAATGCGGGTGTCACAACAGTGTATAGGGCAGCAATGGCCTTGTCCAGAAGTCCAGTGGATCCAAGGGCTGGACGGATATAGGTGTAGAGCACGGTGGAGTAGTACGAGGTGACCACAATGAGGTGAGAGGAGCAGGTGGAGAAGGCACGGCGCTTGCCCTCGGTTGAGCGGATACGCAGGATGTTGACAATGATGAAGCCATAGGACACCATGGTCAGCAGGAAGTTTAGGCCTGACAGAATCATGTCCAAAGTAATGGTTACAACATCATTCAGTAAGGTTGGGGTGCAGGATAGCAGTAGAACAGGTGGGATCTCGCAGAAGAAGTGTGTAATGAGGTTGGGGCCACAGAAGCTAAGCCTCAGGACCAGGCCAGTCAGCAGAAGGGCAATGAGCATCCCTGAAGACCACACAAAGGCTGCCAGGACCACACAGACTCTGGGGCTCATGAGTGCACCATAGAGAAGTGGCCGGCAGATGGCCAGGTAGCGGTCATAGGCCATGGCAGTAAAGAGCAGCAACTCAGAACTCAATGACCAAGTGAAGAAGAACATCTGACTGATGCATCCTCTGTAGGAGATGGTGCTATCTGCAACCAGGCTTTGCAGCACCTTGGGTAAGATGGACACAGTGCAGATCATGTCCAGCATGGCCAGGTTGACTAGAAAGAAATACATGGGGGTGTGTAGGTTGGGACTGGAATGAATGGTAGCAATGATCAGACCATTTCCCATCAGTGCCACTGTGAACAGGCTAAAAAAGAAGCAGAAGAGAGCTACCTGGAGCCCCGGGTCCTGGGTGAAGTTCTGGAGGATGAACATGGTCACTGTCTGGTTCCCTACAATCATGGCTGACAGTCGGGCTACATCTGATGGGGCCTCTTAGAGAGTAATTAGTCAGGAGCAGATGGATTTGATTTCTAACTGGAAAAAAAAACAAACACTTCATTTAACAAAAGACCCTTTATGTAAGGGAAAACAGATTTTTAAGTTTCCATTCATCATCTTGCTAAATATTTAAGGGGAAAACAAGCCAAGGGCAGCCAAAGGTACCACGATGAAAAAAAGCAGAAAATGTTCACATCCCCAAGTGCTTTTAGGTGCTTGATTGTGACCCAGATGCCTTATCTCCAGAACAGAGGGTGCCTCATGGCATCAACCTTAAAAAAGGGACAGACAGACAGAGACTGTTCAGTGTGTCCAGATACCAGACCCACTACACACTACCGAGGACACCTGGAGGTGGGAAATGAAGTCAACAGATTAAAAAGGCAATGAGACTAGAAAGAGGAGGTAGCCAAAGGCAGAGAAAAACTGGTGCTGTCTTTCAAGAACCAAGTACATGTAACAGAGAAATAATATGTGAGCAAGCTCCATGAACCACACACCTCCCATCTCACAGAGACAGAAGAAAGCCACCAAATGCCATTCTGGATTAAAGCCAGTAGGCCAGGGACCCCCAGTTGTCACCAGGACCCTGAGGCAGAAAGAGATCACCAGGGTAGACAAGACATTGGCCAAGGAGTAAGTGGCTACAGGAAGTTTAGGAAGGACTCCACTCTAAAGTGCTCATATGCAGACAGAATCTTCCAGAACACTGGGCATGCAAACACCTTGAAGACTCAGGGACTTTCTGGAGAGCAGTCAGAGGTCAGATACTTGTCCCCAACCTGTTCTCAATGCCACCCAATAGCCCCAAGCTTTTCAGAAGCTGGCCAGGAGACTCTGGGCAAACAATGTAGAACCAGCATCCCCCTGAGCATATGAGCTCCTGATGAAGAGGAAAGGAAGCTGCCCCATTCTACAGCAGTGGAGACAGAGTACAGTGCCGGACTTTCTGGGTGCAGGTACACTCTGAGAATGGATGAGTGGTTTTACATTGGTCATAAAGGGATGTGGTGAGCCTACCAGCCTGACTCAGATGGGCACACTCCTACAGGATAGTTAAGAATCTAGTAATTAAGGTCAATCAGACTCAAACCCTGCCTTAGAGAGTGTGTGGAGTGCTTGGTCTTGCCTAGCTCATCATAAGCTATTTTGTATGATTCCCCAGTACCATAACCAGGTAGGGATAAATATTACGCTCATAAAGTAAGTTTCTGTTGCTGCGTCCATGTGATGCAATTGTGTGTGGCTACTGTCCTGGTAATTTGGGGCTCTTGGTACATATTGTGTGAGTTCCAGCAGCCACACTGCCCTCCCAGACTCAGTTCATCACACTGTTGTGAGAAGGGCTTGGGGGTAGACCA